TTGTCATATGAAGAGAAGTTGTTGTAGATGATGATAATAATCCATTGCAAAAAGAACCAACTCAAAATTTTGAAAATTGAGAGAGTTATGCCCTTGTGATCATTAAATCAAGTATTTGTTCAATTAGGTCAAACTTGTTGAATCAACCTTGAATCTTTTGAATTTTCTTGGCAAAATAAAACATGATGGATCACATTAGGCCTTAAAATGATGTTATCTTGAAGCACACTCAAATATGGAGCTTAAGTCTCAATGAAACTTGTTGAAGAAGGCATGGAAATAGACACATGAACCTATGAATCTTCTGGATGAATGCCATTCTCTTTGAAGCAAGCTTGACCTATAATGAAATTTAGATGGTTCTTTAAACCAAACAATTATGATGTCATCAACATAGCCTTAAATCTCAAACTCTTGGACTTCATTAAACAACCATTTGACTGAGGACTATCCCTTAAAACCCTAGGTTATATGGTGAGATGGATACAATTGTGTCATCACCTATAATATAAACATCCAAAGAAACATATATATATATATATATATATATATATATATATATATATATATATATATATATATATATATATATATATATATATATATATATATATATATATATATACATATTTTGATGTTATTTAAGAGTTAATCAACATAAGATGCGCATGTACAAGATATACAATTCAAGGTGCTTGGGGATCCCTCAAGAGCAAACTTAAAAGATAGGAGGAAGTAGAAGAGAGAACCAACCCTAATGTGTGATCTTTATGTATTGTGATGATAAAAGACGATTAGAGATCTTAGGGGGGAAATTGGGGTATAACACATAGTTGCTGGATTACTAATTGGTTCCAAAAATAAGAAATGTAAAGATGATGAATATGTTAGTGTTGAACTGAACATCTGAAATCCAGATGCCTTTGATGATGATAAAGGAAATAAGTTTAAGAAGTTTAGGAAAGACCAACTAAATAAGAAATTTAAGGTTAAGTGGGGTATGCAATTCAATTTTCTAAATGGATTTAGATATGCAATTCATGAGTGGTCAATATTAAATGGTAGTAAAATTACCTTTGTGAAAAATGAGAGTTACAGGGTAAGGGTAGAATGCAGGGCTAACTGTGGTTTTTTAATCTTATGCTCTAAAGTGGACCATAAGCATGCTTATGATATAAAAACAATAATAGACACACACACACACACACACATGTGCTAGGGTTTTGGATAATAGATTTGTAAACTCAAGGTGGGTGTGATGAAGGCAGTTGTGAAGAAAATACAAACATCTGATATAGTTAAAATTTGTGATATTATCAAAGACATGAGACATAATTACTCTGTGGGGATTGTTATGGATATGACATGAAGGCAATGCTAATAGCAAAGAAGATAATTGAAGGAGATGTAGACAAGCAATATGAGAGTTTATGGAGATATGTTGCTAAGTTGCAAACAGTTAATGTTGGGAATACTATGAAGATCAACGTTGACAGACCAAACCCGTCAATTTAATCAAGGTTTGGATCTTTTTACTTTTGTTTTGATGGTTGTAAAAAAGGATTCATAAATGGATGCAGACCATTTGTTGGAGTTGATGGATGTCATTTAAAGACAAAATATCATAGTCAAATTTTAATTGTTGCGGGTAGGGACCCCAATGACCAACACTTCCCCTTGGCCTTTAGTGTTATGGAAACTAAAACAAAAAATAGCTAAAGGAGGTTTCTACAGTTATTAATGGAAGATATTGAACAAGACAAGAGATATGTTTGTATTTCATATCAGCAAAAGGTGTGTGGTTTACTCATTATGTTTTAAATTATCTAATGTTATGTATGTTCTAATTTTCATATATTTTACAGAGCTTGGTAGCTATATTTGAAGAAATGTTTGAAAGAGTAAAGCATAGGTTGTGTCTAAGACACCTGTATGTAAATTTCAAGAAAAAGTTTGGAGGTGGATCACTAATAAGAGATATGATGATGTGAGTTGTCAAGGCAACTTACTATCAAGGATGGATGCATAAAATGGATGAACTGAAGCAAGTGGATCTCAAGGCTTGGACATGGCTAATGAGAGTACCTCCAAAATGTTGGTGTAAGCATGCATTTATTTTTTACCTTAAATGTGATGTCTTGATGAACAATATTGCTGAGTATTTTAATGCCACAATTTTAGTTGGTAGGGATAAACCTATATTAACCACGTGTGAGTGGATTAGAAAATACTTAATGAATATGTGATATACTTCTTCCATCAAACTTGACAAGTGGCAACATATGGTTATGCCAATTCTTAGAAAGAGATTAGATAATAAAGTGACTATTAGTCTTCATTGGATGCCAACTTGGGCTATGGATGAAAAATTTCAAGTTATCCATTCTTATAACACACATGAATTCATAGTTGACATTGTAAAAATATCTTGTAGTTGTAATTTTTTGAGAGTTAGTTGGTATTCCTTGTAGGCATATTGTTACAGCTTTAAGTTATAGGCAACAAAATTCAGAAGACTTTGCTGATGAATGTTACTCTAGGAAAAAATGTGCCATTTGTTATGGTTTTGCTACGAGTCTCATAAATGGACAAGAAATGTGGCCTGAAGTTCAAGCTGAAGAGCTCTAACCCCCTGTGTACAAAAAAGGTCCTGGGAGACCATGAATACTAAGAATTATGAAGTGTGGTGAGGATGGTGCTATAAGAAGATTACCTGGTGTATCTTATAAGTGTACAAAATATGATAGTTTTGGACAGAATGCTCACTCATGCAAGAGAAAAACACAAGATCCAAATGGCTTGAAACAAAAGGTAAAGCTACTATTATTTTTGTCATTTTGTTTGTTTGGTTTTTCTGTCATTTTGATTTGTCAAAAGCTGATAGATTTTCTATCATTTTGATTGTTGTAGAGAAAAGTAAAGTCTGATGCAAGTCAAAGTGGAGCAAAGCAGAAACAAGTGCAGCCACTAAGGTGAATGAAACTTAACCAACTGAGGTGAACGTAACCCAACCAACTGAGGTGAATTCAACTCAACCAACTAAAGGCATAACTGATGCATGATTGTTTGGTGATATATCTAATGAGATTATGTCGAGCATACTTGACATCAACACAACAAGTGAAACCAAGCAAACACAACCTGACATCAACACAACCACTGTAAAAAATAAAGGCAAAGCAGCCAAGCAAACACAACCTGACATCAACACAACCACTGTAAAAAAGAAAGGCAAAGCAGCCAAGCAAACACAACATGACATCAACACAACTAGTGCCAAAAAGAAAGGTAAAACAGCCAAGCAAACACAACCTGACATCAACATTACCAGTTCCAAAAAGAAAGGAAAAGCTATAGTCAAACAAGAAGGCAAAACAATGAGAAATATGTCAAGTGAGAGAATTAAGCTGAAATGATTTTAAAAACCAATCATATGGCCTGGTTCAAACCCTAACCAACCAATGTATTTGACAAAAGATGAAGGATGAATTCTGACACAAGAAGGTAATGAATTATAATTACGTATGTCCTTTTGTAATGATGTTATGACTTATGACTTTATGTAAGCTTTTGTAATGATCTTATGCACTTTATGTGCCATTTTATACTGAATTATGCATATTTTTTATGTCATTTTATAATGACCTTATGAACTATTGATCTTGTTCCTGTTTACCACAATTATGAAATGAGAACAAAATGAAAACTTTCATTAATACAAAAGTATAAAACATTGCATTTTCTGCATATTATTCAAAGTACAAGAATGCATATTACAACAAAATACATTTTCTGCATAATCTTCAAATTACCTCAAGTTACAACGAATTACAACAAAATGAATATTACATAATCTTGTACAACATTGCAAACATAAACCACGAAATTACAAGTGCCATCTTCAAATTGAAACCTCTTCTTCTGAACATCAACTTTGAGCTTTGTTCTTTCTAACTTCTTTCTTATGATTTCTAACTTCAGAATTGTCATCTCACAGTTATTGCAAGTTGTTGGAACATTTATATTCTCATTCGTACAATGTCCAATTTCATCATCCCACACAAATAAGTCACAACTATTTACACTCTACAAACAGAAACAATAATTACACACAAATATTACAGAAATGGATTATACGAAATGCAAGATTATAAATTATCTTACACCAACGTTATAACATCGCCATAATTTCCTATTAGGGTTTTGAATAATTTTGGCGAGTCACATTTTCATTGCACGATCGCATCCACACCTGAGTAAGGATGAATAACCCCTTGAAAATTCAGCAGAAGGTGTGTTGCTTCCAACAGTGTTGCTTCCAACCATGTTTTTTTCTTGGTAAACAAATTCGAACCAGAACACAAAACAATAGAAACAAGAAAGATGAAAAAACAAGAATGAAAGATGATGTCAAAGGACGATAACAAAAACACGATTGAGATAGGGATGAACTGAGTCCTAGATTTCACGAGAGATAAATATAACACTTAATACATAGTCAACAATAAATTAATTGCCACATAGAAATATTTTAAGTAGAATAATGATTAAGAGTCTATGGTGAAAAACTCTTCATTTGTTAAGGGAGAATCACACATAAACAAAAATTAAGGTGATCAAAATCAAATCTCACTATATTAGCGGAGGGTATAACATATTTAACCCTTAATTTTATTTACTATTGATATACTTTCTATAATCATTAAAGAATATGGTATAGCTAAAAGAATAAACCATTTCTATATTCAAGTAACATTGATTTTCTTGTCCTTTTCCATACAGAGGTAGTATTTCTTGTTCCTTGTTGGCCTAAGCATTTATGTTGTCTTCTTTTTCTCCTCAATAAAGACAACCACTCGATTCATCATGATATATACATAAAATAAATAGCCCACTAACCCAAATTCAACAAGTTTACATATTTCATTGGTGTTAGCCACTGAAATTCCAAAACAGTGATAACATTGAGTAAAAGATTTGATTTTGACACCAAAATGAAGATGGGTATGAATTTCATGGTTTTTGCAGTGTCGGTGTCATGGTTTTGGTCAATACCTACTTCACACGTGTTTGCAGCAAAACAACAGAAGCTGAGGTTTGATGAAAATGGAGAATTCAAGATATTGCAAGTGGCAGATATGCACTATGCAGATGGAAAGAAAACACTTTGCTTAGATGTTCTTCCTTCTCAAAATGCTTCTTGTACTGATCTTAACACCACTGCTTTCATTCATAGGATGATCCTTGCTGAGAAACCTAATCTTATTGTCTTCACTGGTATTGTTCAATTCTTGTTCACTTTTTGGTTTCTAGCTATCATTTCTTTCTAATTCTTTTTAAATCTCTTGTTTTTAAATTATTAGCCGTATGTCGGTGTCGTGTTTCTGATGCCATTTATCCGTGTTTCATAGGATAAAATATGTTCATATTAGATAACCTATTGTGCAAATTTGTTTTTCTCAAATTATTATTAGTAGGTTTGGTGTTTCTGGTGTCCGTGTGTCTCTGTTTCATAGGATAAAATATGTTCATATGAGATAACCTATTGTGCAAAATTGTTTTCTGATATGACAGGAGATAATATCTTTGGGTTTGATTCGTCGGACTCGGCGAAATCAATGGATGCTGCATTTGCTCCTGCAATTGCATCAAACATTCCTTGGGTGGCTGTTTTAGGAAACCATGACCAAGAAGGATCACTCTCTAGGGAAGGTGTGATGAAATATATTGTTGGGATGAACAACACTTTATCTAGAGTCAAACCTGGAAAAGTGCGTAGCATCGATGGTTTTGGAAACTATAACTTGGAGGTTGGTGGTGTTCGAGATACTGATTTCGAAGAGAAATCGGTTCTCAATCTTTACTTTCTTGATAGTGGAGATTATTCCAAAGTTACTGAGATTTCTGGTTATGATTGGATTAAACCTTCGCAGCAAGTTTGGTTCGAGAAAACGTCTGCGGAGCTTCGGGTACTGTCTCGTCTGTTCATTATCCTATCTAGTTATATGTTATACTTGCAATACATTTGACTCTGAAGATTAGCTTAATCAAATTATCTAGTTTCTCTTATCGTTTAGTAGCTGCTTAAGATAGGAAGTTTCTTTAGAGTCTTAGGGTCTGGTTGGATAAACAACTTAATTTAGCATTTATTAAGTGCTTATGTATAAGAAATTTCAATAAGTCTGTTTTCGTATAAGTTATAAGTTGTTTTTCATAAGATAGTTTGGACAGCTTATGGGAATGAGGTGAAAACAACTTAAGGACGTCTCATAAGTTGTTTCTATAAGCTTGCATAAACAGACTCGTAGTGTTTATGACGTAGATAAACTCAAATATCTCAATCCAAACAGACCCGAATTCAAAATATGGCTTATTTTTCTGTTTGTCCATTGCTAAAATTAACTTTAAGCACTTAAGCCTTGATTTGTTCTGCAGAAAAAATACATAAAAGGACATGTGCCTCAGAAAGAAGCTGCTCCTGGTCTTGCATACTTTCACATCCCCTTGCCCGAATACGCAAGTTTTGACTCATCCAACATGACAGGCGTGAAAATGGAAACATATGGCGACAATGGCATTAGTTCTGCTTCGGTGAACTCTGGTTTCTTCACAACCTTGGTTACAGCAGGAGACGTGAAGGCCGTTTTCGTTGGCCATGATCACATCAATGACTTCTGCGGCAAGCTAATGGATATACAACTTTGTTATGCTGGAGGGTTTGGATACCATGCTTATGGACAAGCTGGATGGTCTAGGAGAGCAAGAGTGGTTGTAGCTAGCTTGGAGAAGACAGGTAAGGGAAGTTGGGGAGATGTCGAGTCGATTAAAACATGGAAACGCCTTGATGATGAGCATCTCACTAGAACCGATAGTGAAGTCCTGTGGAGCAAGAGCACTCATGGTAAGGTATTCTACAACGCTCGGAATTCTGTTGTTTATTCTTAAACTACACTACATATTGAAAGTGTGTCTGATCAATGGCTCGTGTTCATCGGTGTGAAATACTAATATTTCTTTCTTCTTCAATATCTATGGGAAGCCTCAATGTTCATGTCCTTCTCTTCCTTGCTTATGCTTGTTTAGTTTATGCATGTTTTGGTTTCCTTACAGGAAGCAGTGGCTAAAAACAAATTGGTGGAAAGTGAGGATTTGAGAAAGTGATGCAAATAAGTATTGGTGTATCAACATGATTACTTTTTTTTTATGAAATATTAATATGATTGTTTATTTTGGAAGTTTTAATGAGTTGCTATACAAATTAGTATTCATCGAAATTGGAAACTGTGATACACATATCATGTAATACCAATGCTGCAATTGAAGGCTAAAGATTACAGAAGAAGGAATGAAGTTTATTAATGAGGTGTGATTGTATGCATTATTTCCCAAAGAAAATATATTTGAAGGTTTTATGTATGGGTTCATAACCAAAAATAATTTCATCTTGCATGAATGCTCGGCCATCTGGCCATATAGCACAGACACCTCAAATATATCATGACATATATGATTATGTTCAGTTTTTCAAATTTAATTTTTTTCTGTAATTTGTTATTCAAATCAGAAAAGTAGTTATTTTCTTTATCACAATACTACATAAGAGTTTTTCTTATTATTCGGTGGTAAACCCGAGTATTTCCACAAACATAGTTGTAGAGATTAGAGTTGTCAAAATGGGTCGAAGCCCATGGACCGGTCCATCCAGCCCGAAAAAAGTAGCACGAGCCTTATTCTTTTAGCCTATTTACTGCTGGGTCTTTTTTAGCCCGGCACGAAAAAACTCTAAAAAATATGGATCAATCCGTATGGGTTATGGGTAGTCTGTCAGCTCGAAAAGAATTAAAATTATTAATATAATTTAAAATTATCTCTTCCTATTATAACTTATAAGTATAATTTATAAGTATAACCCAAAAAAATTTAAAAAGAAACCATTTAATTGGGCCTAAAACCCAAGTAGTAGTACCCACAACTCAGCCTAATTATTGCTATTACTCGTTTCATTATATCTTTCTCATTGTGAGAAATGGCTAAACGCCTAAATCTAATATCAACTGCCTCTTTGTTCAGTGAAACGAAATTGACTGCGTCTGTGAAACGGTGAAACCGCCTCCGTCTTGAAGTCATCCGCACAATGAAGCCGACTGCGTCCGTGAAGTCGTCCGCATAGTAAAACCGATTGCATGTGTGAAAATGTCTGCACATTGAAACCGCATGCGTCCTTCAAAACCGCTTGTGCAAGTTTGAATCACTTCTACAGTTCTGATAGTGAGGTTTGAACTGGATATATTTTGTGAATCTATTGTGACAAAGTGTGAATAGTTGATTTTGAACTGAATATGTTTAAACTGATTTTGAAACTAATCTGTTGTGAATCTGTAGTGAAACTATTGAATATATTTTGTGAATCTATTGTGACAAAGTGTGAATAGGTGATTTTGAACTGAATATGTTTAAATTGATTTTGTGAATATGTGAATAGGAATTATGTTGTTAATCTGAAGTTTTATAGGAATTATGTCGTTAATCTGTTGTTAAACTGAAATTTTATAGAAATTATGTGAATATATTGAAACTGAGTGAAACTATATCTTTGAAAATGTTCCAGGTTGTTTGTGAATATACTGATAATGGAAATTAGTAATGATAATGAGGTTAATGCTAAGCAAGTTAGGGCAACTCCCCCGGTATCACTATTTGCTCAGTCTAATGTAATTGATCTTGATAACAATGAGATTAACGAAGAGGTGTAACACCCTTCTAACTCGAACGGAATATTGGGAATTATTTAAAATAATATCAGAGTAATACAACAAAAGGGTGTCACATTTTATTCGTGAAATAATCATATGTGCTAGTCTTACTTTGTAACACGGTTTTTCAAAATTATTCATGACATATGCATTATCAATGTTTCACATACTTGCAGCGGAATGATAGTTCAAACAAGTTTCATTAAAAACACTTCATAGTGCCCCATGATTCATAGTTCACAATTCAACACAATTTAAACTCCATGAAAACAATATAAATGTCATAACTAAACAAGAACAACATAGTTTTCAAAATAAAGTGTTCTCGTCTCCGATATTACATATCAGAGCAAGATCTTCTAGACTCAATGGAAATAAATCACACTCTAAAGCTATTCTTCCAAGCCATTGAGGACTACTCTTGATTATCTGCATGTTACCCACATAGAGACAACATTCAAGCAGAAAGGGTGAGTTTATCACAATTATTATATAAGACATAAGTGATAGACATAGCAGAATAAACTCAAAAGTATCATAACATAAACTCAGCATTATTATATTCCAAGTACGTCAACAATCATACAAATTCAACAACACAACACAACATCATCAATTCAAGAACCACGCAATGCCATGTAAGATGTAGTGCAAGGACAAAGACTCATGCATGTGGTACCAATTCATTTGATGGACGCTAGGCCATCACCCTCCAAAGACCCCAATCATAGGATCGATTCTCGCTTGGAACCAGAGATCATAGACATCCCAAATCTATACAATGGGATTGAGACCAAATCACTGGACCAACTTCCTAAATCATCAAAACCAAATCACTGGACCAACGTCCTAAATCATCAAAATGGACCAAAGTTGTCCCATGAATGCATGATGCGCAACAACAAATATAAACGACCATAACTAGTCATAAGCATCAGCATTCATGTATTAATCAACACCATACATAAAACATCATCATGCATACTCATTTAATCATCATATATACTCATGTAATTAAAATATCATCATAACGTCATCACATAATCATAATAGTAACATATCATCATAGTTAAACAAATCGTCATTGCAATTCAATGTGGGGAACCTATTCTTACTCTAACTTAAGTCTTATAAAAATATTCCTAAGTATCCATTTTATTTCACTTAATTTTAGTATACTATGTTAGCTACGCACAGCTTCGAACGACACTTCACTATGAGCTCTAGAACTAAAGTTATGCCTATTTCAAGATTTCAGTCCAACCTTTCACTTCTGCCAACCGCCGCCCGACGAAACCCATCCATCGCCCGACGACACATTACAGAGACCAAAACCCCATTTTCCTTCCTTGGCTCGCCCCACCTTCTCCTGGAGAAACACCGTCACTCGACGACACAGGACCCGTCGCCTGACGATCCTCTGCGAACAGGGTTTTCCTGTTTGCGATTCTGCACTGCATCAGACTAATTTTCCCTATGATTCCATCATGTGACAGGTCTTAAAACATTATCTAATCATAGGGAATCATCATCTAACAACAACTTGGTATACTAAATCAATTATACCATAATTATGGGTCAATATTCATCATAATTTCATCAATTCTTCACCACAACAACACTAAGTCACCATTGTCAATACCTAAGAAAAAATCCCACATCTATCTACCACTTAAATCAAACATAATAATTAGATAAAAAACCCTTACCTTATTGTTTCGAGTAATTGATTCTGTTCTTCGTGCCTCTTACAGTGATCTCCTCCAATCTCTGTGTCCTAGCCTCTTCTCTTGCTCGTCTCTCAATATTTGGATTGCACAGAATGAATCGTATAACTCTCTTTATTTCTCTGTTATCACAAAGGACCCTTGATATCTTCCTCAATTGCCCTTACTTAATCAACTTCTATTTACCATCACGTCTTCACCCTTCCTACTAATTACCAACATACCATTCTAACTAAAATAATTCTATTTAAATAATTATTCCTATTATTCTATTATAAATAGTAATGCAAATAATTACTAAATAATCATCTAATTATTCCAATGCATCTAATCCCTTCATTCACATCACATGTTCTACATCATAAGCAACCACATGCCAACACATCACACATATAATCATATAAAACATCAATTATTCGTAAATACTCCTAATAATTCATTAAATAAATAACTTTTAAAAGTTGGGGTTTTAAAACTCTCCCCCACTTACAAAAAATTTGCCCTTGAAAATTACCTGAGGAAAACAGAGTCGGATACGACTCTTTCATCTGATCCTCACGCTCCCAAGTCAAAATTTCACCGGCTGGTCCACCCCATAACACCTTCACTAAGGTAATATCCTTACCTCGTAATTTCTTCACTTTGCGACCTTCTATTCTCAATGATAATGCTTCAACAGTCAGGTTATCTCTCACATGTACCTCATTCATCTGAATTACATGTGAATGATCCAGAATATACCTCCTCAATTGAGATACATGAAACATATCATGAAGATTCGCAAGTGAAAGCGGTAAAGTAATCTGGTAGGCTACCTCACCTATCTTCTCAGATATTTGATATGGTCCAATGAAAAGTGGCGTAAGATTCCTCAATTTTAGGGCTATATCAACACTAGTACCGGAATAACTCTCAAAAAGACATGATCATATTTCTGAAACTCTGAGGCCTTCCTCCTCTTATCATGATAGATTTTCTGATGACTCTAAGAAGCCTTCATCCTCTCTTAGATCATCTTAATCTTCTTAGTTGTCTCTCGCACAATCTCAGGTCCAAGTACAACACCCTCATCTGACTCATACCAACACAATAGAGTTCTACACCTCTTACCCTACAACACTTCATACAGTAACATCCCAATACTTGAATGGAAACTATTATTGTATGTAAATTCAATCAATGGCAAATCACTATCCAAAATCCTCCTTGTTCTAGAACACAAGCCCTCGGCAAATCCTCCAAAGACTGGATAGTCTTTTCTGTTAGACCGTCCGTCTGCGGATGATATGCAGAACTCAACTTCAACTTGGTACCGAAAGCATTCTGCAAACCTGTCCAGAATTTTGATGTAAAACTTGGGTCTCTATCCGACACAATACTCGAAGGTATCCCATGCAACTTTACATTCTCTTTAACATACATCTTAGCCAGCTTTTCTATAGGATGATTGATCTTCATCGGCAATAAATGAGCCGACTTATTCAACCTATCCACTATTACCCAAATTGAATCATCACCTTTATCAGTCTTCGGTAACCCCGACACGAAATCCATAGAAACACTGTCCCATTTCCACTCTGGAATACTCAAAGGTTGCATAAGACTTGTAGGCTTCTGATGTTCAATATTCACCTTCTGACAAGCCAAGCAAGTATACACAAACTTAGCAATTTCTTTCTTC